CAACACCTGCCCTTCACCTGCCCCACATCCACCCCTCAAGTCCATCTTCCTGCCTCACCGATGCATAAACCCGGGGTCCTCCTTGTGTAGGACGCCCCACAGCCTCGTCCGGCTGCCACTGTGCAGGCTCTAGGCCAGTGTCCTGGTGCACCTATGTCCAGGAGCACCCCCAGCCTCACAGGCCTCCAACCTTGAATGTGATCTCCGTGACACCTGAAACACCTTCTGGGCTGAGGCCCAAGTCCTCTCCAGCCTGACCAACATGGTGAAGTCCCGTCTCTACTAAAAATACAAAAATTAGCTGGGCATGGTGCCATACGCCTGTGATCCCAGCTACTTGGGAGGCTGAGGCAGGAGAATCGCTTGAACACAGGAGGCAGAGGTTGCGGTGAGCCCAGAGCATGCCATCGCACTCCAGCCTGGGCGACAGAGCAAGACTCTGTCTCACCAAAAAAAAAAAAAGTTTAGAGGCATAATAATATTCATTGCAATGTTACTTTCAATTAAAAAATGACAACTGAAGCTGGGTGCCGTGGTTTGCACCTGTGGTCCCCGCTACTTAAGAGGCCAAGGTGGGAGGATTGCTTGAACCCAGGAGTTTGGGGCTGCAGTGAGCTGTGATTGCGCCACTGCACTCCAGCCTGGGTGGCCGAGTGAGACCCCATCTTTATCTTTTATGTATGTTTTTATCTTTATTTTAATTTTTAATTAGAGACAGGGTTTTGTCACGTTGCTCAGGCTGGTCTCAGACTCCTGGGCTCAAGCAATCTTCCTGCCTTGGCCTCCCAAAGTGCTACTGGGATTACAGGTGTGAGCCATTGTACCCAGCTGAGACCCCATCTTAAAAATATTCATAATAACTGAGGAAGGACCTAAGTCTCCAAGCAGGAGAATTTTGCTGTAGTGATTACAGCACACGCCGCAGGTGTTGAAAGGGCACCATGGGCCGGGGGCGGTTCATGCCTGTCATCCCAGCATTTTGGGAGGCCGAGGTGGGTGGATCACTTGAGGTCAGGAGTTCGAGACCAGCCTGGCAACATGGTGAAACCCCATCTCCACTAAAAATACAAAAATTAGCCAGGCCTGGTGGCGTGCGCCTGTAATTCCAGCTGCTTGGGTTGCTGACGCAGGAGAATTGCTTGGACCCAGGAGACAGAGGTTGTAGTGAGCCGAGATCACACCACTGCACTCCAGCCTGGGCGACAGGGTGAGACTGCATCTCAAAATAATAATAATAAATAATAATAATAATAAAAGGGTACCATGGAAAAATCTGTGACTTCACCCTAGGACCTTCGCGTGACACAATGAAGCCACACAGATGGCTGCAGAAGAGATACATGATGGCACGTTTATTACAATGTAGATGGTGTGCGTGCTGCTTACAGGGATGAGCTCTGAGAAGCACCTCGCTAGGCAGTGTCAGCACTGTGTGACGTCATCGAGTGAGCCCCGTGACCCAGACGTAGGGCCCAGGCCACCCCCAGGCTGTGACCGACATCGAGTGAGCCCTGTGACCCAGACGTAGGGCTCAGGCACACCCCCAAGCTGTAACCGTCATTGAGTGAGCCCCATGACCCAGATGTAGGGCCCAGGCACACCCAGGCTGTGACCAACATCGAGTGAGCCCTGTGACCCAGACGTAGGGCCCAGGCACACCCAGGCTTCGTGGGGGAGCTACTGTCATCCCATGTGACCACTGTTGCATGTGTGGCCCGTTGCTGACCAAAAGGTCTTTATGCTGAGCATGGCTATACCTGTATATATTCCTATTTCTGCAGGAATAAAATGATGGAATAGCACATACAAGGTGCTAGCAGTGGTTCTCTCTGGGTGGTGAGCTGTGGGTTTAGTTTCTTCTTTCTCAGCACTTGTATTTGACAACAGTGTGTTAGCTGGGGCAGGGAATCCCAAGACACACCAGGCTTGGCCTTCCAGGACAGGTTCCCCCAGTCCTCAGGGGTTCCCAGGACTGTAGCCAGCAACATCACACTGTCCCGGGGCCCTCGTGGTGGCTTCTGCAGTGTCCACAGCCACTGCTGCTTTCTCTGCTCCTGACGCTCAGGCCCTCAGCACCGGGAGGCCACCAAACCCCTCTGTAAACATGAAAAAGTCACTAGGGTACCCACATTTGGGGATCCTCTGGGACCCATGCACCAGCAGCTGTGTGGCTAGCCGGCTGGCTCCCACTGGTTCCTGTACATCCAGCAGTCAGCTGGGACCCAGACAGTGACCAGGGAAAAGATGAGAAGACACAGGGGTAAGGGGCTGGGGCTTGAGGTTCCAAGGACCCAGGCACTCAACACAGGGGACCTCCATCAATACGAGAGAGAGAGAGCCCGGTGGCCTTGGACAAGTCACTGTCCCTCTGGACCTTCATTTTCCATCTGTAAATTAGGAAGCTCCCTGAGATCCTCCCCTCCTCCTCATCCTCCATGCTCAGGACCGTGCTCCCTGAGATCCTCCCCTCCTCCTCATCCTCCATGCTCAGGACCGTGCTCCCTGAGATCCTCCCCTCCGCCTCATCCCCCATGCTCAGGACCGTGCTCCCTGAGATCCTCCCCTCCGCCTCATCCCCCATGCTCAGGACCGTGATCCCTGAGATCCTCCCCTCCTCCTCATCCCCCATGCTCAGGACCGTGCTCCCTGAGATCCTCCCCTCCGCCTCATCCCCCAAGCTCAGGATCGTGCTCCCTGAGATCCTCCCCTCCTCCTCATCCCCCATGCTCAGGACCGTGCTCCCTGAGATCCTCCCCACTGCCTCATCCCCCATGCTCAGGACCGTGCTCCCTGAGATCCTCCCCTCCTCCTCATCCCCCC